ACACACCACCTGTCTATCGCTCGCTCTCAGCGTCACCCCCGCCCCACCCCTAGTCCCCATTCTGTCTCGTTAGCTGATCCAGCTTCTCTAAGCCGTTTTTTTTTTTTTCTAGACAGGCGGAGGAATGTTTAAGTTGTCTGATGTATTCTGCATCAAGTTGTCTGATGTATTCTACATCAAGTTGTCTGATGTATTCTGCATCAAGTTGTCTGATGTATTCTGCATCAAGTTGTCTGATGTATTCTGCATCAAGTTGTCTGATGTATTCTGCATCAAGTTGTCTGATGTATTCTGCATCAAGTTGTCTGATGTATACTGTATCAAGTTGTCTGATGTATTCTGCATCAAGTTGTCTGATGTATTCTGCATCAAGAATTAAATATTGACATAAGACATAAATAGGATCGATTGACAGGCACAGACTGCGGGCTGCTAGTTAGTCAGGTAGATGTATACATGGATAATAGGACAGAGAGAAAACATTTAGACAGACGGGTTGGCGGGTGGGCAGTCGGACGGAGAGATGGATGTACGGACGGACGGACGGACAGACAGACAGACAGGCAGATAGATAGAAATGAATGAACGTATGTGCAGATACACGGTTGTGTTGAGGTTGATATATGAGTGGGTATTAACATCGACAGACACACAGGGGTGTTACACGCGCAAAGACAGATGTAGTGACAGGCAGATGGATCGATAGGACTAAAGAAAGCGGACAGTTGTCATGTGTCAAATGTGGATACAGTGCGTTCCAAAAGTGGTATCCTCACACTAAAACAAATATCTAGAAAACTCATGTATGGACCTGCACAAGAGTTTGTATGCGGTGTTAAATTTGCCCAGTTCCTAAAAGAAGAAAAAAATGTGACACACACACGGTGATTGTTTGGAAATGAGTTCATGTTTGCAGCGATGTGTTGTGATTTTTTTTTTTTTTTTGATAGCCTGTTCGGCATATAATGAAAAGTTATGTTCATGAAACTCACAGGAGGCTGTGGATTACCATTTCAGAGTAACACCCCCCCCCCCCCCCCTCAAAAAAAAAAACGCCTGCAGATTGATGTTTTCAGAAGTTTACATTGCTCCGTTACGCCGATTATTTGCTTTGAATCAGTGTTTGGATTTTTTTTAAAAATGCTAGTAAGGCAACTTAAGGTTTAAGGTTAGTTGCGTATCCTTTACAGGACGTTGCAGAACCAACCCCAGCAGCCTCTGGCTGTTGTGTGGTTTCTCTAGGCAAATTTACGTCCAGTAGTTTGCCATTGCCCTCTGGACGGTCGGCTCCCTGATACCCGCAGCTGGGATCTAACCCAGCACCACGGCATTACAAAGCGTTCGTATCGACTCAGCCACAGAGCCGTCTTAGTAAGGCAACTACTGGATGTAAATTTGCCTAGAGAAACGACACATCAGCCAGGGGCTGTTAGGGTTCGTTCTGCAACGTCCTGTAAAGGATACGCAACTAACCTAGTAAGGCAAAATGAAACTATATGTTTATATATATTTTGTGAAAAAATAATGCATACAAATACATGAATTAAGGGTTGCTTGCCGACTTTCAACAACCTACACACAACAGTTTCCGAGTGACAGATTTATCAAGTTTGTCACGACTTCGGAAACGGACTATTGGATGACACTTCGTACTGACTGAAAGTCACCTTGCTACGAAACTTTAATACTCGTGCTTAAGACCAACTAGATAGCAGATTAGCACCTCTAGGCGTGTGATTAGACCTCTGTAGTCAAAACACGGTGGTGATCAATTTTAGCGTTTATTGCAGGCTTTAGACACGAAGGTTGTTTTGAATAAGGAAGCACATCATAGCACTTGGGACATTTCCATAAGTGTTCTACCCCCAGCTTCAGCAGCCACCACAGATTTCAAATTAAGGTGCTACCATTCATTTCATAAAAACAGTAGAACATCCTTCCCAAGCCAGTGTCGCATCCGTCATTTGTTGATAAACTCATAAGCTTGGCCTTAAAAAAAATATTTCTTCTTGTCTCTAGGACTCCGAGATTTCGTGGGGAGTTCCCGGGAAAGTTCAGTAGTAAAGGGGAGTTACGGTGTAAAATGAACTAACACTAACTATCACGTTCACCGGCTGTCAACTTCTGGTTGTTTGTCTACTTCTTCACGCTCACCGGCTGTAAACTTCGGGTTGTTTGTCTACTTCTTCACGTTCACCGGCTGTAAAATTTGGTTGTTTGTCTACTTCTTCACGCTCACCGGCTGTAAACTTCTGGTTGTTTGTCTACTTCTTCACGTTCACCGGCTGTAAACTTCTGGTTGTTTGTCTACTTCTTTGCGTTCACCGGCTGTAAACTTCGGGTTGTTTGTCTACTTCTTTACGCTCACCGGCTGTAAACTTCTGGTTGTTTGTCTACTTCTTCACGTTCACCGGCTGTAAACTTCTGGTTGTTTGTCTACTTCTTTACGTTCACCTGCTGTAAACTGCTGGTTGTTTGTCTACTTCTTCACGTTTACCGGCTGTAACCTTCGGGTTATTTGTCTACTTCTTCACGTTCACCGGCTGTAAACTTCTGGTTGTTTGTCAACTTCTTTACGTTCACCGGCTGTAAACTTCTGGTTGTTTGTCTACTTCTTCACGTTCACCGGCTGTAAACTTCGGGTTGTTTGTCTACTTCTTCACGTTCACCGGCTGTAAACTTCAGGTTGTTTGTCTACTTCTTCACGTTCACCGGCTGTAAACTCCGGCGAAAAGTTCTGGTTGTTTGTCTACTCCTGAACTTAAGTCTTCTTTAAGATTTTCGCACGCACATCCGCTTTACAGATCTAGCTTATTTGTAAGCAGACTGTTGGTTCCCTTCCTCTCAGGCAGATGTACTCCGACTTAGAACGGAAAACCCCTTAATTAGTCGACTTTTACAACATGCGTGTTGGTGATAAAGTAAAGGACCCTTTTCCACGTCTTTAGGTGTATCGGGCATATAGGGCTAGACCTATATTTTTATAGACCATCGGCACTTTGTGGATGATGTGGTCATCATCACGCCGGCCGCCTTCACTTTCCGTGACTGCCCCTGGTACTCATTCAAGGCTGGGTCGACCTGAAAGTCAAGGTCATTTTTGAAGAAAAAAATCTGGCTCCTTTAGGACCCGAACCCACGACCTTCTGATCCACAAGCGGGGGTCTTACCATCAACGCCACGTCGACTCCCGTATTGAGCGGTAGTAGGTCTTTTTTTTCCCGCACCCAAATGTGGCCCCGGAACCTTTCACTTGCTCTTTCCACTTTCCCTTATTGTTGATTTATGGCTTTCTTTTCATCCTTGCTGTCTTATATCCTTTTGTAAACAAACACATCTGCCGGCTGTAAGCTGGATCAATGGATAAGATAATCTGCCTTCTGCAGCGTCAGACCATGTCGATATCAAGCGGTTCAGCATATTGGGTTTAGGTTTAGACGACAGAGCAACATCATGCCACAAAGGTAGTAGTAACACACAAGTGCTCTGTTCTACTTCTGACTCAAGCCTGAGTCCGAAGAATCTCGGAGCACTACTCTTTTTAATTTCCAACTCCCAAGGGATTTTCTACGTGCGCGACAATACATACGGGCGTCCAATCTTACTACCCAGATACTAGGGGAAATTACTAGAAGTCAACCTGAACAATCCTAGCCTTGACCCTGGCGTGAATCCATGACCTCCATCATACGAGGCGGACGCCATGCCTCGAGACCAGGCATTTCCCTAAAAGAGCCTGTTCGCATCTATATACATACCAGTTAGTGTTTATTGAGAGCTTCTGTGGTATAGTGGTTCGATGCTCACCTGCGGATTCGAGGGCGTAGATTCAGGTCCTGACGAAGCCAGACTGTTTAAAAAAAATGACATTGACTGCCAAGTCGATGCAGCCTTAAATAAGTACTAAATCTAGTCGTGGGAAGTAAAGGCGGCCGGTATGATGTTGACCACATCGCCCGCTTAGTGTCGAATGGGCTTTAAAATATAGGTATATCCTCATCTGCCCAATACGCCTGACATTGTGGAAAATGGTTCTTTTACACAGTGGTTATCAGATGCGACGCCACAACACTCGTGGGGGGGGGGGGGGGGGGGGTCCAGTCTCCCTACAAAAAATAGCCAGTTGGGCGGATGGTCATTTGTAGCTTTCCCCCGTACTTTACAGAATGAACTGGTTACTTCAGTCCACCTGCGGTAAATACATGACAGTAGGGCGGGCAGGCAAGTGTGCAAGCTTATGTGTTGTCCACGAGACCCCCAGATCATAGAAAGTTTATTCTTTCATTACCGTCATTATCGTTATCTTCATCGTCCTCATTATCAGAGTCTTCATCATCATCATCGTCTTATCCTGTTCATCATTATCATTATCATCGTTAGCACTGGCTTCATAATCACCATCATCGTCATCATTACCTTTATCTTCATTGCATTATCATTATCTTCATATGCATCATCATCAGTGTCCTTATTATCATTATCATCATCATCAACATCTTCATCATCATCGTCATCATTATCACCATATCATTATCTTCATCATTATCTTCATCATCACTATCATCATTATCATCATCATTATCACCATACAATTATCTTTATCATCATTAGCGTTCTGGTCATCATTATTACATACGTCACTTTCATCATTATCATCATGTTGCCTTCTTTATATCTTACGTGGGAGTAAAGGTTATGTTGACATTAGTTTGCTCCAACCTTAAGTATCAATTCCTAGACCTGTCCTATTTCATGTGCCGGCTGAAGAAACAGCGAGTGGAAGAATAAAGTGTGAAACCGCATTGTGTTGTTCGCTGTCGTCCATTTCTACTCGTCCATTTCTACTCTTCATGTTGATGTTGGAGTGTGAAAAGAGGAGTCTGCAACTGACTGGAGCCAGAAAGATAAAGATCAGAGTCATTGCAACATCGATTGTGTTGGTTTTACCTGCATGGCTACTGATATTGTTATCTACATGTGTGCTTTTTGACCATCCACAGATGCAGGACTACAAGGCTTTGGACTTGAGGACAGTGTCTTAGAGGCAATTGCACAGGAGTTCAGTAAACATCAGGGCGAGGAAGATATACCCCAAGGTGAGTAGGAGTTGGCAGTCACACTAAAAATCGGTACTATCTGCCATCTGACACAATCACCAGTAAGTGACCATCTGACACAGTCACCAGTAAGTGACCATCATCCACCATCTGACACAGTCACCAGTAAGTGACCATCATCCACCATCTGACACAGTCACCAGTAAGTGACCATCTGACACAGTCACCAGTAAGTGACCATCTGACACAGTCACCAGTAAGTGACCATCTGACACAGTCACCAGTAAGTGACCATCATCCACCATCTGACACAATCACCAGTAAGTGACCATCTGACACAGTCACCAGTAAGTGACCATCTGACACAGTCACCAGTAAGTGACCATCTGACACAGTCACCAGTAAGTGACCATCTGACACAGTCACCAGTAAGTGACCCTCTGACACAGTCACCAGTAAGTGACCGTTTGACACAATCACCAGTAAGTGACCACCTGACACAATCACCAGTAAGTGACCATCTGACACAATCACCAGTAATTGACCATGATCCACCACCTGACACAATCACCAGTAAGTGACCACCTGACACAGTCACCAGTAAGTGACCATCATCCTCCATCTGACAAAATCACCAGTAAGCGACCATCTGACACAATCACCAGTAAGCTACCACCATCCACCATCTGGCACAATCACCAGTAAGCGACCATCTGACACAATCACCAGTAAGCTACCACCATCCACCATCTGGCACAATCACCAGTAAGCTACCATCATCCAACATCTGACACAATCACCAGTAAGCTACCATCATCCTCCATCTGACACAATCACCAGTAATTGACCATCTGACACAATCACCAGTAATTGACCATCTGACACAATCACCAGTAATTGACCATCATCCAGCATCTGACACAATCACCAGTAAGCTATCATCATCCACCATCTGACACGATCACCAGTAATTGACCATCATCCACCATCTGACACGATCACTAGTAAGTGACTATCATCCACCAGCTGACACAATCACCAGTAATTGACTATCATCCAGCATCTGACACAATCACCAGTAAGCTATCGTCATCCACCATCTGACACGATCACCAGTAATTGACCATCATCCACCATCTGACACAATCACCAGTAAGCTACCATCATCCTCCATCTGACACAATCACCAGTAATTGACCATCTGACACAATCACCAGTAATTGACCATCTGACACAATCACCAGTAATTGAACATCTGACACAATTACCAGTAAACTACCATCATCTACCATCTGACACAATCACCAGTAAGCTACCATCATCCACCATCTGACAGGATCACAAGTTGGAGACCATTTATAAAAGCAGTACTTCTGCCCCCTCTCCGTGAAAGCTGTGTGCTGCAGTAGGAATGTCCACCGACACCCGCCACTGCTAACATTAAACCCTGATAAGTTCATGATTCGAAATGCAATCCATTTCCTCTAGCCCCCTGGGCTGCACCCGGAAGCTATCAGCGGCATCATATGCTACCAGTGTTTTAATCTTTGCTCTCTTGCACGCTGATATAAAGGGAATATAAGATCTCCTGATGGGGTAGGGCGCCTCTAGGAACCTTAGCTTTTTATTTTTATTTTAAGTACTTAATAGTAGTATGACTTATAATAGCAATAATAATAAATGTATGCACGTACTCAGCATACAATGTCTAAAAAAAATGATGACGGGACTAACCACAAAGTGTCTAAAAAATAGTGCCGGTACTCAGCATAGTGTCTACAAAAGGTGTCAGTACTCACCACACAGTGTCTAAAAATGTGTCGGTACTCACCACACAGTGTCCAAAAAGTGCCGGTACTTACCACATAGTGTCTATAAAAGGTGCCGGTACTTACCACTTAGTGTCTATAAAAGGTGCCGGTACTTACCACACAGTGTCTATAAAAGGTGCCGGTACTTACCACATAGTGTCTATAAAAAGTGCCGGTACTTACCACACAGTGTCTATAAAAAGTGCCGGTACTCACCACATAGTGTCTTTAAAAGGTGCTGGTACTCACCACACAGTGTCTATAAAAGGTGCCGGTACTCACCACACAGTGTGTAAAAAGGTGCTGGTACTCACCACACAGTGTCTATAAAAGGTGCTGGTACTCACCACACAGTGTCTATAAAAGGTGCCGGTACTCACCACACAGTGTGTAAAAAGGCGCCGGTACTCACCACATAGTGTCTATAAAAGGTGCCGGTACTCACCACATAGTGTCTATAAAAGGTGCCGATACTCACCACATAGTGTCTAAAAAAGGTGCCGGTACTCACCACGAAACGCATTAGCGCAGTCGATATGAGACTCGCTTTCAAATTCAGCTGCGACTTGCTGCAGCCCACGGTCGGTATTCGAAACCGGGCGGCTCACGGGGTTCACCCAGCCTCTAGGAAATGATACCACTGTTGACACTCTGGGGTAAATGGAGGAACGTCGCTGTAGCTACGGAGTTACATGCGGATGGCGACATAGGAGGACAGTTTCTTATCAGCTGTCTGTACTGGTGGCAGAGCACTTATGGTTTATAACCGTGTGCAATGACGCTGGTTCACATCTTCCGACTTTTATCTTTCTTTTTACCACAAAGTATCTGAAAAAGAAGGTGCCGATACTCACCACAAAGTGTTTGAAAAAATGTGCGGATACTCACCACACAGTGTCTAAAAAGGTGTCGGCACTCACCACATAGTGTCTGAAAATAATTAGAGATAAAAAAATATATGCCTGAAAGCAGGTACCACCACTACATACTGTTATCTACTTCCATTGGTTTGTTCTAGTATCCAGAAGCCATGAGTTGTTAACCCTTAGGCTTGGTATTATGGATATCGCAACCTTTCGGCCTTGATTCCATTGTAAATACCGTAAATCTGGGAGAAATGTGGCTTTTCTGCCTACCCCCGGGAGTGAACCCGGACCACAAGGAGTTCGTCACCCGATCACCGCGTAATCCGGTTTAGCAAACTACGCTAGAGAGCCGGGCCTGTCTACTTCCATAAACCATGAAGATAGTGATGATGAGGATGCTGATGATAGTGGTGATAATGATGCTGATGGTGATGATGAGGATGGGAATGATGAAGATGGCGAAAATGGTAATATCAGTGTGCTAACTGACAATAAAAATTAATCATTTAAAAAAAAAAAAAGCATAATATGTCTCTAAACAAAAACTTGGAAAAAAGTGCTTCTGTGCAGGACGGTTTAGTGAGGCTTAGCGAGGGGGGGGGGGAGGTTTGACCGCTTATAGTTTCTTACCGTGGGAGGGGGGGGGGAGAGGGGTACTCAGTGAGATTAGCCTCCCCCCCCCCCACCCCGCCCCACTTCTGTTGCCCCTGACAGTAAAATAAGTAGCACAACAAATAGACTGCCTATGCAGATGAAATAGGGTTAGCAAATTGAATCACAAGCTGAAGCTGAAAGCAGAAAAACAAACGTAATAAATTAGAGACATCGATTTTACATTGAATATCTTCTCTCTTTCTTCGCCGTAGACAGCTCTGCGCTTGAATGGATGATACAATTTGAAATTTGTTTCAAAGATGGCTGACAGAGCTCGGTAAGATCCGGCGTTGGGGGGAAAAGACCTTCCTTGTTGATAGTACAGCTCAACAGTTATTAGATTTATAAATTGGCTGGATGGACAGGCGAGGCTATTAGCTTGGAGGGATCAGCTTAAAGACAGTAGAATTACGTGACAACAAAACAATAAACAATAGGCTTCCTCTCCCGTCAGTAAACAACAAATTTAAACATTTTAGTCCCCCGTGTGGGTTCCGGGGCCCCATTGTAGGGGAAAAAAAGAATAGACCCACTGCTTCCCCAGAGGCATGTCGTAAGAATCGACTAATTGGGGAGCTTCCTTTGAAGTCAGAGTGCATCTGCCAGAGAGGCAAGGAACCAACAGTCTGTATTCAAGAGAATGAGATCTGTAAAACTGATGCACACGCAACACTCAGGTTCTGGAGCAGGACTGCAGTTCAATAGTGGACGAGCAACCAGAACTTTCCGCCAGAGTGTACAGCTGGTGAACGCGAAGAAGAAGAAGAAGAAATATTTTGGTTACTTGAAACGTCACAAAAGTTTAGTGAGAACTGTAATGGAGGGGTATATAGGTTATATGTTTAGGTTATAATTGTGACTAGGGTATGTGCGTCATATAAAATAGATTAGCATTGCACACACCACCATGTAGCCCTTAAATAGATTCCTGTTGTGTTGAGGAGATCAAAGGAGACAAATCAAGATACTGTTCCGACCGGCAACGAAGTCGTCAGCCGGCAAGCCACTTGGCCTTCCGGTCGCCGATAACCCGAGTGTGACAGGCAAGATTCGCTCTCGTTAAGAAGTCTTCCACGATTATGAGTAGCATGTATTTGACGTGCTTAAACTAACACGCTCAGGCGCTAACTTATCGGCACTTTTTTTTTTTGTTGTTGTTGCTACAAGGTCCGACAATTAAGCAATGAGACTGATTGATTCTATTACGGCCAAGACGAAATTGCCATCTATGAAGCAAAGCATGGAATCCAATGAGGCAGCCTTCATCTATGATCTGGCAGCTTTGCATCGCCGCTTGATAAGCAGACGAAAAACAAGCCACGATTTTATTGATCTAGTTAGATGTGCATTGTTACGAAATCAGCATGAAGCAAAAAGAAAAAAAAAACGTTACATTCTGTTTAAAACTCAGAAAAATCGCCACTGAGGCAATTGAATTGAATCAACAAGTTTATGGGTATAATTGTTTATCTGGTGCACAGATAAAAGAAAATTGAAAGTAAAAATGTTGGTATTTACGATTCAAAAGTGGTGTAGAAATGATTACTAATGCAACTAGACCTGGACACCCAGTTTCTGTTTGTAATGATGATCTCATTGCAAAAGTCACAGAACGGATACAAGAAGATCGTTGTTTTACTGTCAGGATGATGGCAGATGAATCTGGTGTTAATAGAGAGACCCTTCGTAAAATTTTAGTGCAAGATTT